CATTTAATATAATTAAGTAATTAAAGCCTCTCAAGTTTAGTCAGATCTAAGTTCCTTCAAATGGAATGCTAAATGGTGTATATGATTTGCATCAGGGATTTTTGACTTGGATACGTCCTCTTGGTCACCTTGAGGAGGTCAGCCTGGTCCTCTCTCATATCCTATCTTTTATTACAGTTAGTTCAATTTTTTCTTAGCAACATCTAATCAGAGGAAGATAAATATGTCGGTGCTGTAAAATCTGTAGCACCTGTAAAAGATTTTATATTACCATGCCATTAGCTATTAGTATAGGAAGAAAAATTTTGATTAAATACACAATTTTTGAACTAAGTAGAAAACTTACAGTCCATCCTTTTATTAATGCAATGATGAAGCTTTAAAAAATGAAGGGCTTGCCTAGTGTTATAAATAGATCGTGGGGCAGGCTTCATAGTGTAGCAAGTGAAGCCGCCACTTGCAAAGCTAACATTCTGTATCAGGGTGCTGATTGGAGTTCAGCTGCTCTGCTTTTGATCTAGCTTCTTGCTGATGTACCTGGGAAGGCTGCAAGAGGTAGCCCAGTTACCATCAATGCGACAGACCAGGATGCAGTTCTTGGTTCTTGTCATCCTCCTGAACAAGTCCTGGCTGGTTTTGACCATTTATGGAGTGAATCTTAGAAGATTCTCTCTCTCTCTCTCTCTCTCTCTCTTTCTCTCTTACTCTCTATATGTGTATATGTTTTTACCTCTCTATCACTCTGCCTTTGAAATAAAGAAAAACAGATTGCACAGTAATTGGATCAGTAGGAATGTATGCCATTAATAACATCTATTCCTCAGTCTTTCTTTTCATCAACTATCAATTTCCATTTTTTAGAGCTAGCATGCAAAACATTAACTTTAGAAACATTCTTTTATATTGTATTGTTCACCCTAGAAAGCCCATTGCATTCACTTGAAGGATAAATTTCCTAATGATTTAAAACTGATTTTATTTTGAATGACCTTATCTTGTCTTTGCATAGAGTCCAAAGAGCACTTGAATAACTATTCTGATTAGAAGATATTTTGGTAATTTCATTATGTGCAGAGTTAATGTAGGTAAAATGCATAGTGCTATTTATCTTCGAGATTTTAAAAATTCATGTAAGAATTTCCATTTTAAAAATTAGCATTCTGGTAAAGAAAGCCTGTGTAGTTTGTGCAGGCTTACATCACGAAAAGCCTCTCTTTGTGGAAATCATAAATTATTTTCTTTCTAGGGAAACCAGAGTATGATGTAGCCAATTAAGAAGAAAAGTGGATTCATTGCTAAGAGTAGGTTAAAGTGCTGTTGCTTTGTACACATAACATTATTTATTTCTCCTAATGATCTTGGGAAGTACAGATTTATTGAACCTAGGCTACTTACTGTCCCAAAGGCTTCACAGCTAGCAAGTAAGAGAATTCCCTTTTAAACTTAAGTCTCATCAAAAGCCACACATCACTCCTGCACCATATTGCCAGTAAAATCAAAGAATTTAAGTGAATAAATATTCTTTTTGATTTAACAAATTATTTATGTTATGGAATCATAAGACATTAACTTTCTGCCAAAACAAAAGAAATAAAAGGCTGCATAATTATCTCTTGAGACCAGATATTCTATTTTTTTCTCTACTGTGAATTGGGGAAAGGAACTTTTGTAAATAAAAATATAAAAATAACATTTAATTTAAAAAAAAAACAGCCCATTTTATTTTTCCTTTTTTCCTGTAAAGTTGTCAAGTTCTAACCTGTTATGAACAAAAATGTCTCCCAGACCATTTGGAACCTTTGCTTAAAACAACTTCCTACATTCATCCCAACTACTTCTAATTTTAAACACTGGGATTTAGAGACAGACTTAGCACAGTGCCAAGAACATAATGCATTTAAATAATGTTGAATTTATGCTTTTAATAACGTCAGGGTTTAGCCTGAGCAAGATACTTGATGTCTGTAACCCTTTGTGAATTTGTGTGTCACTTCCATCATCTCATAAATAGTTCATTCTTTTGAACATCCTACTATGTGTGTGACTGAAGCTTTCTTAAAAATGCTTATTGCTAAAATTAATTAAAATTAATGTAGCTTGGAGAATTGTTAAGAATCTAGTGAACACTGAGAAAATCTACTTTGGGTTGTCACAAAAACATTTAAAACAATATAAAGAAAATGTGGAACATATACATTCTGGAATGCTATTCAACAGTAAAAAGAATGAAATCCTTTCATTCTAGACAACATGGATGAACCTTGTAAACATTATGTTAGGCCAAATAAAAAATTATTTAACCAAGTGGTTAGAATGGTATAGTGAGAAAACCTTATATTAGCAATTATGAAACACAGCTCCTGATGCTTTTTTGTCCATAAACCTGATGTTTGCATTGATGAATATATATATATGCAAACTAAGAAATGCTTGGGCTCTACACATTTACAAGATTCTCATAAACAACAAAGATAACATACCCAAAAATGCTTGATAAACAGTACATTGATGTCCAGGTAGAAATGCCTGTGTGGTTATTATTGGTATTAATAGCACTATTTAATACAGCCACTCAGAATTTAACAGGTAATTTCAAGTCATTTTCTCTATTTTCTTGCTTCTATTACTCTTTCTTTGGGGCTGTGCCTAGCATATTGCTTTTCTGCTACTTTCTGCTTTTCCCTACTTGGTACTTTCTGCTTTTATCTAAGAGGCATTTGAGAATGTTGGCACAGTCTAAAGAACTGTAGGAAGGATCCCAAGCCCTTTGAACATTAGTGGTACGCTGGTAACTTACTCTCAAGGGGAGGAGGGGGAGAATATGTAAAGCAGCCCTAATGTATAGAGCTAACAGATTTCTGTATATAAATAGTCCCCTGATGGCCCATTTCAAAATCACTGTGATATTGACCAGAGTTGGGAAGGGATGCACAGACTAGCTGTAAGAAGTGGGTAGGAGCTGAGATTAGCACACATTGCATAGACCAGGTTTCATGTCAGTGAGGTCCACCAGATAAGGAAATGAGTATCTTTTGAAACTTCGAATTTAATAGAAAACATTGTCCTTCGATTTGAACTATCAAAATAAGATGGTAGTTAGGATACTGGCACGTGGATTCAAGTCCTGGCTATGCTTCTGATTCCATATTCTTGCTAATGTAGATGTGTGGAGGCAGCAGATGTGTGCTCTAGTGGTTGGGTCCCTGCCTCCTACACCAGAGAACTGGATTCAGTGCCCTTTTCTAGGTTTGGCAATTGCAGGCATTTGAGGTATGAACCAGCGAATGAGATTTTGCTCTCTGTCTTTCCCTGTGTCTTTCTGCCTCTCAAATAATTTTAAAAAATAGAGAGAACCTCCCCTTTGACTATGACCTTGTCTAAACAAGATAAGAGTCGGAGAACTCAGAGGGCTTCCATAGCCTTGGAAACTCATGACTGGAGCATAGGGAGATTACTGATGCCATAGACAGGAGTGTCAATTGGTAAAGTCAACAACAGGAGTCACTGTGCACTTACTCCTCATGTAGGATCTCTGTCCTTAATGTGCTGTACATTGAGATTTAATGCTATAACGAGTACTCAAACAATATATTTCACTTTGTGTTTCTATGGGGGTGCAAACTGTTGAAATCCTTACTTAATGCATACTAAACTGATCCTCTGTAAAAAAAAAAAAAAAAAAAAAGGAAATTATCAATTCCCAACTTGACTCTCACTGGGATTAAACATGACAATAGGTCTGCTCTGATTTCATCATCATTTAAAAAAAAATCATCTATTATTTTTCACTTTATGTTTCTGTGTGGGAGCAAACTGTTGAAATCCATACTTGATGTATACTAAGCTGATCTTCTGTATATTAAGATAATCGAAAATGAATCTTGATGTGAATGGAAGGGGAGAGGGAGTGGGAAAGGGGAGGGTTGTGGGTGGGAGGGACGGTGTGGGGGGAAGCCATTGTAATCCATAAATCGTACTTTGGAAATTTATATTCATTAAATAAAAGTTTAAAAAAAATTATTTAACATAGTTTTTATAAGTAACATCCAGTATAGGCATCAGAAAATCTGTGATCATATATATGCACTGTTCATTAAAAATGCACTTATGAGGCCGGCGCCACGCTCATTAGGCTAATTCTCTGCCTGCTACGCTGGCACCCCGGGTTCTAGTCCTGGTCGGGGCGCCGGATTCCGTCCGGATTGCCCCTCTTCCAGTCCAGCTCTCTGCTGTGGCCAGGGAGTGCAGTGGAGGATGGCCCAAGTCCTTGGGCCCTGCGCCCACATGGGAGACCAGGAGAAGTACCTGGCTCCTGGCTTCGGATCAGCGCAATGCGCCAGCCGCAGTGCACCAGCAGCAGCGGCCACTGAGGGGTGAACCAATGGAAAAATAAGACCTTTCTCTCTGTCTCTCTCTCTCACTGTCCACTCTGCCTGTCTAAAAAAAAAAATGCACTTATGAAGTACTATTCAAGTTCATCTGAATTCTGATTCTAATTATGAGATCAGACAACAGATTTATGGCATCATCTTGTTGATTCACTTAATGTGAACATATTGGCTGTGTTGAGAAGACGAAATCCTCAGTCCTCAATGTGAATTTGATGACAAAATCATGTCTGTGTTCCCTATCTCATTACGAAAGAACACAGTTGTCCAGTTCTTCACAGGTAATATGAAGGTAGATGGCAGGAAATGTTTCTCTGTTTAAGCTGCTGAGTGTCTCTTGGATTTAGAATATAAGCACGCCCAAAAGTGAAACAACACTTTAGTAGCTACTGTCCAACCTTGATGTCAGACATCACAGGAAGTTTCACCTGTGTGTACCTAAGTAGGTATATGAGTGCCTGAGTAGTGTGAAGAATGAGTCTCTGGGCTTGCATCTTGAAATAACTCTGGATCTCCAGGGATTCTTGAAACTGAGTGAATCAGTTCCCACTTATTGGAAAGCTAAAGTAAGAGGTTAAATTAATGTAGAGATGAAAGATGAAAAAGTCATACCTCAAGTCCAGGAACGATGTTGGAGAGTGGGAAGAGCATGGGATGTAGTCACAGGAACCAGGAGTTAGAATCCTAGAATGCAGATCATTCTCCTCTATGCTCTCATAGCATTCTTTTTAGAAAAATTTTGTCACTCCTCTGCTATAGGGTTGGATAGATCTCTCTCTCTCTCTTGCTGTCTTCCATCTCTGTCTCTAGTTCTATCTTATTGCCTCTTTCTCACTTCTTCCTCTGTATCACAATTGTCTCAAGGATTTTCCTTTATCAGTTTCTCATACTCTAATACCATAATTATTATATTTGATGCCAAATTATCTCAAATTTGGACACTGGAAGTCCCTCTGAAACTCCCTTTCATTCTTCAGTGCTTCCCTGCTTTCTGGCATAACAAGATGTCCAAGGACTCTGTACTTTCCCTATCCCAGACTTGGGGTCAGCTACATTTTTTCCCAAGAACTTCCAGTTCCATTCTGTGATAAATGGTACTTAGAAACCAAGACTAGGGCAATGCTGCTTCTAGAACAAAACAAAATAATTGGTGTAGTCGTACTTGGTAAAACATAAAACATCGTACTATGACTGTTACTAGTATCACCAAAGAGACATTCAGCCTATTTGGAGCAATGCTAAAGCACCAACAGGAGTCTCTTGGTGTTTAGAGAATGAGGAGGAGACACAGTATGTATATGGCATAAATCGGCTTCATGACGTATAATATGAACTTGTATCTTATGACTCTAAGGGAGTAAGCAGAAGAAAAATTGTGTACTGTATTTTCACCTGTTCGCTAAGTGACTTTATTTAATACTTCTGATAGGAGAGAATAAAATGTCTCAGCTTATGGACAGATTATGATCTTTTTTAAAAATGAAACATTTGTCTGAAGAATGTTGAAACATAAATGTGTATCTTTCTTTGCTTTTTGCCATTCTTATATTAATTCACACTAGTGTGATTTTGAGATTTTTAAAAATTGCAAATATATTAACTTTACTGTGGTAGATATAAAAAATGCATCACATTTAAGGGGTTTGTGTGACAGCTTTGGGTTTCTGTGTGGAAAAAATGTATTATTGTGTGTTTTGTTGCCTATGATTTTATTTTAAATAAAATACACCTCCTATCTGTACTCTGACTTTAATTCATGCTGTAAACATCATTTGGTTTAATGTACAGAATTTTCTACTTTGATATATTATTTAATTCTTTCACTTAAAACTTTTTAAAAGAGCTAGTATTCCTCTATGAGACCATAAGTTTTGAGAAATTGGACAGGATACAAAAATGGGTAAACAGGTGCTGCTTAGCATCTCATTAATTGCAGGAAAGGAAAGCAAAATAGCCCAGATGTCCAAGGAACAGCATTTTTTTTTCTTTTTAACTTTGCCAGGACTGTTTCTTCTAACCGTGGGGGCTAAAGGAGGGAGGAGGACAGAGTAGGGAAAACATATAACAGAGCTAATGGTTTCCCAGGTCCCTCTTTTCATGGGAAGCCAGGCTAATAATAAGGAAGAGCAAAGAATTTGTGATTGCGTGATCTATGTTTGAATGTTCTTTATTTCCTTTATTTTCCTATTTTTGGTTTTGTAACACATTCAGATGACTGGATGTCAGATGCCTCTGTGTGTGGGCAGGCTGGGCTAGGCAAGGAAGAGATCAGTTTGGCAGTGCTGTGTTTCAGCTGTTTCAGGAATTCCTCATTTTCAACACTGGGCAGAAAGGGCTATTCCTGTAAAAAACTTGATACACGTGCAGAAACAACCAGACTCATGGAGAAGCTCAGGTCAGACTGTGTGGCCCAAGGAGGCTTCTCAGTTTACCAGGAGTTTGCCCTTGGGGACATTGTCTAACCTTTCTGGGTTTCAACTTGCCTGTTTATAAAATGGAGGTAATAGCAGGACCTTCCTTCTGGGGTCCTGTTAATATGCGAAAAGTGCCTAACTTAGTACAGGCAAACAATAAATATTAGCTCTTATGTTTATGGCTTTCTTACATTTTAATAGAACTGTTGATAAAATATTACCACTTCCTACCAATGTTTGAAATTTTTCAAACAGTTCCACCAACAAATAAATGTTCCATCTTTAAACTACATTTCTAACTTTATTTTTTTTTTACTTATTTATTTCCTTCCTTAGCAATGTGATATTTTTAAAGACTTTTATGGCCTCTGTATTACTCAGGTTCACCAACTTAATATAGGTCACATTGATGAATCGTCTTCTGTGGCTTGGCTCTTTGCTACATGCTGGGAATACACAAATACAATGCAATACTTGTCCTCAGGTAGCTCACTGTGGTGGGGTAGAACATCAGAGCTGGAGAACCTTTTTTCTGCCATTGACCATTTCGATATTTATAACATCATTCATGGGCCATACAAAATTATCAACGTAAAAATTAGCCAGCTATAGATTTATTGAATTTTGAATCCTGCCTAGGATTGCCTTGGTAGGGCCAGACTAAATGACCATGCAGGCCTTATATGGCCCGTGGGTTGGACATTCCCTATACCTGGAGAAAAGCCATTTGGTTTAATCATTATTATTACAAGATACAGTAGAGATATAAGCTAAGGGTAATTAAGGAATTCTTTATACTTCACAGTCATGAAGGTTGTTCTCCAAATTCACAAAGCAGCAATGATTTTCCAAAAGGAAAACAAATATGATGTAACTTTGGTTAGTGGTCAGAAATGTTTCTAACGAAGTATCCTTTAACTAAAACAAATGTGAGCACAGAGGTCATATTGAATATTTTATTTTGGAATCAATCATAATTCCCAAGGCTCCAGTTATCACTGATTTACATACGGGACATTTTGTAATTTAAAAGTTAAAATATCTCCACCTTTTACCTAGAGTACATAAGCCACAAAGGTACCCATGCACTAGAAGTGCCTCCAGCTTGATAAAGGGCTGATGCATACCGCATCCACAGGAAGCCCAGAGAAACTGAAACCGACATCTCCAAAGATCAACACTGGTTCCACACTAGCTCAAGTAGCAAAACACAGAACTTTTTTTTTATTGCTTAACACTTCCACTCACCTTAGAATTATAAGGCAATTTTTTAAAATTTGGGACAAGTTTCTCTTTTTATAAACTTAATTTATTTTAAAGGCAGAGTGACAGAGAGAAAGGGAGATACAGAGAAAGAGATCATCCATCTGCTAGTTCACTCCCTAAATGTCCACAACAGCCAGGGATGGATCAGGCCAAACCCAGGGGCCAGAAGCTTCATCCAGGTCTCCCCCATAGGTGACAGGGGCTCAAGAACTTGAACCATCTTCTGCTGCTTTCCCAGGCACATTAGCAAAGAGCTGGATTGGAAGTGGAACAGCTGGGACTTGAATTGGTGCCCATATGGGATGTTGGCATCTGGTAGTGATATAATCCACTGTGCCACAGCACCAGTGCCTCATTTTTAAAGATTAAATTGTTGGGGCCAGCACTGTGTAGTATAGGATAAGCCACTAACTTCAGTACCAGCATCCCATATGGGTGCTGGTTCATATCCTGGCTGCTTCTCTTCTGATCCAGTTCTCTGCTATGGCCTAGGAAGGCAGTAGAAGGTGGCCCAAGTCCTTGGGCCACTGCACCCATGTGGGAGACCTGGAAGAAGCTCCTGGCTCTTGGCTTTGGATCAGCCCAGCTCCAGCCTTTGTGTCCATTTGGGAAGTGACCCAACAGATGGAAGACTCTCTCTGTAACTCTGTCTCTCAAATAAATAAATAAAATCTTTAAAAATTTAATAAAAATAAAAATTAAACTGTTGATGTTAGTTATCCACACATCTTAGGAAACTGAGACAAAGACATTGCTTTGGGGGATTCCATTACTTCCTGGGTACCAGATTTTCACAGTGTGCATGTTACTCATGGCAACCTATCATCGAAGTTTTCAGCTGGAGGATTGGTTCCAAATCTTAAGGCATTTCTCTGCTATGGGAACAGTTTAGACCTTAGACTATACAGAGTACAGAGTAGCAGGGTGTAGTTTAAAAGCATAGAAAATGAATTCAGATCCAGTTAGTCTTCCTGTGTCATGGTTTTGCCATTCATAACAGAAATAATAACAGTAACCACCTCACAGAGTTGCTGGGAGAATGAAATGAGTTACTTCAAATAAATGCTCAAAAGAGATTGAAGTTTCTCACTGGTATCTATAGGGACCCATGAAAGCAACCCTCCTTCTCAGATGATTACCATTTGAGTCCAGACAGGAATTAAAGACACACCCATTACTGCTGTCTCCTCATCCTACACCAGAGTAGTTCTGCAGTTCATGGTGAAGTCCTATAACCTCTCTCAAAGTCAGCATTGTGCTTGAATTCCCAAGCTCTGGAGCCAGTCTCACACTCTGCAGACCAAGTTAGTATTCATGTAATTATGGGCATATCCCTTTGTCAGCACTGGCTCTGCTGCTCCAAAATCCTTATTAGAATTTTTGGTCCTCAATCAAAATACAACTCTGAGAAAGCTATTTTATCGGAAATGGATAGGTGTCTTATTCAGCTTAAAGTTGATTTGCAGTTAAAAGAATAATTTTCTCCTGTGCCTACCTGTTAAACACCAAGTACAAAACTTGCATTAAATGGTAGGAATATGGCAAGAATGGTAAAAGTAACATTACAATTTTATGAATTATATTTAGAGATTCTATTTAATGGATGTGTCATAAATACAGTTTTGGACTCCTCTTTGTCCTTTAATTTGTCTCTTAATGTGAAATGAAGGTCAGCTAATCATAAAATTGATTAGAGCATATTTTTCTGGATTTTGCTGAAAATTTTTTACTGATTAGAGCTAATAAAGAAGAGGGAATAGGAAGGGAAAATAAAAGGAAACAATAAAATATGCACTTTAAAATAAATTTTTATTTTTTTAAAGATTTATTTATTTATTTGAAAGTCAGAGTTACACAGAGAGAGAAGAGGCAGGAACTATCTGATGGTTCAATCCCAAACTGGCTACAACGGCTGGAGCTATGCCAATCCGAAGCCAGGAGCCAGGAGCTTCTTCCAGGTCTCCCACATGGGTGTAGGGGCCCAAGGACTTGGGCCATTTTCTACTGCCTTCCCAGGCCATAGCAGAGAGCTGGATTGGAAGTGGAGCAGCCGGGGCTAGAACCCATATGGGATGCCGGTGCTTCAGGCCAGGACATTAACCCGCTTTGCCACAGTGCCAGCCCCCTAATTTCAATATAATATTAATGTAGAACATTGATATAATTCACAATACCTTGTTGATACAAGATCACCTTCAAATGTAATTTGAAGCCCACAACCTGTTTATTTTAAAACTCCTTGGTTTCACTGACACAAGAGAAAAATACCTTTGTGTTTGTTGAGTAAATAGGTTATCTCGGTTATTTTGTCCATGAAACAGTGGCACCAGAATCATCAAGGGTGGTTAACAAATGTGCAGTAGTCTCATGGGTCCCTTCAAGACTCCTGAATCACATCGTTCAGAGGTGAGGCCCAGAATCTGCATTTTAGCACAGTTCTGCACAGTCAATAGGAAAAGATGTGATCCACAGCCATGCTCTCCAATTTCAAACTCTCCTCAGTTGGTGGTGCTGGGGGAGCAATGGCACCCTCTCCCTCCATAACCTGTTGCCCTCGTCGTTGTATTTTATGCGTTATCATCGGTCTCTGAAATCGCTTTTCTTGATCCATGTGGTTT